TTCTCCTCCTCCTCCTCCTACTCTTCCTCTCCTCCTCCCCCTCCTCGCCCTCTTGCTCCTCCTGCCCTCCCTCCTCCTTCTCCTCCCCCTCATCTTCCTCCTCCTCCTCCTCCTCCTCCTCCTCCTCCTCCCTCCTCCTCCTCCTCCTCTGTTTGCTTTCCCATTCCTCCTCGTCCTCCTCCTCCTCCTCCTCCCTCCTCCTCCTCCTCCTCCTCCTCCTCCCCCTCCTCCTCTTCCTCCTTCTCCTCCCTGTCCTCCTCCCCCCTCGCTTCCTCAACCGCTCATCCTGTCTTCTCTCCCCATCACGCGGGAGAGAGAGAGAGAGAGAGAGAAAGAGAGAGGGAGACAGAGAGGTGAGCCGCAACCATGCAGATGGCCTGGCTGGGAGGCACGGCGCCGCCTCTGCCGCAGAGGCGCTGCGGGGGGCGAGCCGCGAGGATCTCGGCCCCGCCCTCCCCTCGTGCATATATTGCTCGTCCCTCATCCCCCCTCCCCCCTCTCCTCCCTCCCTCCCTCCCTCCTCCTCCTCCTCCTCCTCCTCCTCCTCCTCCTCCTCCTCCTCCTCCTCCTCCTCGTCTTCCTCCTCCTCCTTCTCCTCCTCGCCCTCCCGCCCCTCCTTCCCCCCCTCCTCCTCCTCCTCCTCCTCCTCCTCCTCCTCCTCTCCTCCTCCTCCTCCTCCTCCTCCTCCTCCATCTCCTCATCATCACCATCATCATCATCAGCATCATCATCATCAGCAGCATCATCACCATCATCATCATCATTGCCATCAGCATCATCATCATCATCATCATCAGCAGCAGCATCATCATCATCAGCAGCAGCATCAGCAGTATCATCATACTCCTGATCCTGTTCCTTCTCCTCCACATCCTTCTCCGCTTCCTCCTCCTCCTCATCCTCCTCCTCATCATCATGATCCTCTTCCTCCTCCCCCTCCTACAGCCCTCCTCCTCCTCTTCCTCCTCATCCTTCTCCTCCTCATGTCCCTCCTCCTCCTTTTCATATTCCTCCTCCTGCTCCTGTTCCTGTTCCTCCTCCCCCTCGTTCTCTCCCCCTTCCCTTCCTCCGCCTCCCCCTTCGCTTCCTCCGCCTCCTCCCTCCTCATCCTCCTCCTCGTATTCCCTCTCCCTCGTGTTCGTCCTCTTCCCGTTCCTGCGCCTTCTCCACCTCGTCCTCTTCGTCTTCCGCTCCTCGTCCTCCCCCTGCCCGACCCCGAGGGCAGCCCGCCCGAGCGTCCGACGGCGGGCCCGCCCAGTGATCTCCCTTCCCAGGCATGCTCGCGTCGCAAGAGGATTGCCCTGGCGAAGAACCCAACCCATCCTATACGAGTGGGAAATATCAACAAGGCCGCTCGATGCATCAGAACTCGTTAGGGGGGGGGCCGAAACGTGTGAGGGGTCTGCCGAAATGGACCCGAGTACGCATGCGGGCCCTGCCACTGGGGCCTTCGGTGGAGCTCCGTATGGGGCCACGAAAAGTGTGGGGGGTCTGCCGAAATGGATACGAATACGCGTGCGGGCCCTGCCACTGGGGCCTTCGGTGGAGCTCCCTATTGGGCCGCGAAACGCGTAAGGGGCACGCCGAAATGGACCCGAGTACGCATGCGGGCCCTGCCATTGGGGCCTTCGGTGGAGCTCCCCATGGGGCCACGAAACGTGTAAGGGGGGGTCTGCCGAAATGGGCCCGAGTACGCGTGCGGGCCCCTGCCACTGGGGCCTTCGGTGGAGCTCCGTATGGGGCCGCGAAACGCGTAAGGGGCACGCCGAAATGGACCCGAGTACGCATGTGGGCCTTGCCACTGGGGCCTTCGGTTGAGCTCCCTAAAGGACCACGAAACGTGTGGGGTCTGCCGAAATGGACCCGAGTACGCATGCGGGCCCTGCCACTGGGGCCTTCGGTGGAGCTCCGTACTGGGCCACGAAGCGTGTGAGGGGTCTGCCAAAATGGACCCGAGTACGCATGCGGGCCCTGCCACTGGGGCCTTCGGTGGAGCTCCCTAAGGGGCCACCACGAAATGTGTGAAGTGTGTGTGTGTGTGTGCGTGCTGAACTGGACCCGAGTACGCATGCGGGCCCTGCCACTGGGGCCTTCGGTGCAGCTCCCTATGGGGCCACGAAACGTGCAGGTGAGGAGGAGGAGAGGAGGGAGGAGGCGAGGAAAGGAGAAGGAGGAGGAGGAGGAGGAGGAGGAGGAGGAGGAGAAGGAGGTGGGGCGCGGCGCTGCGAATTCAAAACGAGGACCCAACACACAGGGGGGTTGGGAAAAATCAGGAGAACAGGTTTTTCGTTATAAAACAAACGAATCTGGATGGAAAGCCGGCCTTCAGGAAAGGGTCGGGACTTCCAGGGACGCCGTACTAAAAAAAATCGGGGCGCCGCAGGTGTGGATTTTCCTCTCCCCCCGCCCCCCGCTGTTCTTGCCGAGGGCTCAGGCCGCCACCTGGGATGCCTAATGGCACGGGCCTCGCCAGAATGCCCCATGGCGCTGACGGGCCTGAATGTGCGGGAGTTGGACGTCGTGGTCGCGGATGACGAGGACCGCCCCCGCCCCCCCCACACGAGAGCGACGACGCCGAGGACGAGGAGGACAAACAGGCGAACGAGAACTTGGCTCCTGATGCTTGATTCACACAAAAAGGCGAACGAGAAGGGAGCATGAGGAGGAGGATGGAGAGGAAGAGGATGAGGAGGACGAGACCCTCATCGCACTCCTCGCCATCATCGTCCCCCACCTCGGTGTTCCCTCTCCTTCGCTCCTACACCTAGCCCTCTCCATGTGCCATCACATCGTCATCATTACCGTCCTCGTCAGCCGCAGCAGCAGCATCAGCAGCATCAACGGCATCATCAACGTCGTCAACAGCATCCCTACCTCCTGCATCCTCCTCATCTTCCTCCTCTTCCTCCTCCTGCACGATGCAGGATCACCAAGACGCAGCAATCAGGTCGACTCGTGTGATTAACGTCCTGAGAACGGCGTTTCGGCAGGCGTCAAGATTTTCACACGGTTGTCCCCCAACGGCGCATTCTCTTCAATGGCAATGGGTTCTCGTATGGAATGTATGAAGAGGGAGCTTGGGGGGAGGGTGTATTCCAACATCGTTGGTGAGTCTTGGGTGTACACTGGTCATACTCCTCCTCCTCCTCCTCCTCCTCCTCCTCCTCCTCCTCCCTCCTCCTCCTCCTCCTCCTCCTCCCTCCTCCTCCTCCTCCTCCTCCTCCTCCACCTCCACCTCCTCCTCCTCCTCCTCCTCCTCCTCCTCCTCCTCCTTCTCCTGGCATCCATCATGCCGAACCAGGTCCGCACGATTGTGGTCCCGCTCTTGGCTAAACCTACAAGTAGTCGGAGACCCGTAGGTTTGTTCAGCAGTGTCGATCGCTTCTGGGGCAAGATCAGAAGACCTGTGGCTGCTGCTTGAGAGTCCTCATATCGGCGCCCCTATCTGGCTGTGGGGCCCTTTTCTGGAGCTTCAGACCTTGTTTGGAGGCAGGCTGCGAAATTCTCCAAACAGGCTTGCCCTATAGAAGCCCGAGTTCATCATAAGCAATTGGTCTTTAGCACCCCCCCCCCCCTTTTTCCAATGCCCCCCCCTTTTCCAATGGCACCCCTCCCCTTTTCCAATGTCACTTGCTTGCTTGCTCTTGCGTGCTTGCTCTCGCTTGCTTGCCCTTGCTTGCTTGCTTGCACTTGATCGCTGGCTCTTGCTTGCTTGTTTTTGCTCGTTTGCGCGTGCTTGCTTCCGCTTGCTTGCTTGCGCTTGCTTGATTTTGATCCTCCCGTCCTCCTCCCGTCTTGCTCCCGTCCTCCTTCGTCTTCCTCCCATCCTCCTCTCGTCCTCCTCCTGTCGTCCTATCTATTTGGAGTCAACGCTGGTTGATGTCGGAACTTGCTGTTAGGCCAGGACCCCTTCCAGAACTCTAAGGACCCGGTGAGGAGCCCAAAGAAGAAAGACAATAAAGATAAGAGTATCGCGTGAACGGTCCTCTGAGTTCCCCTGAAGTTCTATGCGACAATCGAGCTTTCCATCTTGGCCGACAGGTGAGAGTTGCTTGAGAGTCCGGAACAGTTGTTCCATGTCAGCTTGGCAGCGTACGAAAGTCCTCGCTTCCTCACGATGGCCAGCATTGTGCACGGTCCGCATTTTGTCAGCGCGGGTGTTGTCGAAGGTTGTTCGCTCTGGCCACAACGTATGTACGACTGTATGCCATACCCACGATCGACTGCATGACATTCCCTTTTGCGCACGTCTCTGGACATATCTATATATATATATATATATATATATATATAGAGAGAGAGAGAGAGAGAGAAAAAAAAAAAAAAAAAAAAAAAAAAAAAAAAAAAAAAAAGATTCTGGAATATCCTCGACGGGCAAAGCTAAGCAAGTCGCGCACGACATCGTTCACATATAGAATTGACGGCCGAAATGCAAGTTAGTGTAGCACAGAACAAGGCCTCAGTGATATGATCCTCGCGTACGACTGGTGAAGCGATTAGGGCCACCCTCGGACATTATGGCGGTGCTACCTTTGCAGAGTCAGCAGTCAATTTGGGCATTGACGATACTGCAGGAAGGAGCCGAAGGAGAAAAGGTAGAGGACAGAAGCGGAGGAAGAGAGAGGAGAAATTCAAGCAATGGACGAAACGTTTCAAGAGGGTCGAGCAAGCATTGGATTAGCATCGCCGCAGTATTTTCACGAGCGGACCGCTAGCAGGCCTGTGCTGTGGGTATGAGGTGCACGGGCTGTCAGACTACGAGCTTTCGACGGCTCGGCGCGCTGCAGGCTCTGTCTTACGGCCCAATGCAGGCACGAGGCCATTCACATCGTTGCTGATTTTACACGGCGACCCGCCTTGGCATGGATCAGTTGCACCGGTGGTGCGCTATGCCAAGGAGGCTTTCACGAATCAGGTCAAGTCGCCGCCCCACACCTTTTCGCTTCAGGTCCTTAGGGAAGCTTGGGAGTCAGCATACGAGGTCCCCAACGTAGAGCTCGCTTGGACAAAAAAGAAAAAAGTCACAGGTCCTCTCTCGGCACTCCGCATGAGCCTCAGAAGGATCCAGCAGGACATGAAGAGGTTCTGCATTTAAACTCACGACCACGGGGAATCTATATTTTTGACCACATGCTCCCCAGCTTTGCCCAAGGTGTCGTTGCATGAAGGGGTCATGAGGCAGCTCGAGAGAGACGCGAAGTCCACGATGTGCAATGTCGAGTATGTCATGATATAGTGTCGTCAGCTTCGATCGTCTGGAGATTCGCGCTACGAGAAGGGCTGCATCAAGTCCCTTGTTTGTGGAGCTCTTTGGAAACGCGAGCGAGCGCTCGACTTAGGGTACGAGCTGCAATCAGCTCAGCGTCCTCTAGGATGCGGCGCTAGCGACGCGGTGTTTCACCGACTGTGGGAATGCAGCGCGGTCGAGGACGAGAGAGGTGAGATGATCGACGATGATGGGTTGATCCAGACGGCTGGGGGATCGATCGGACCGATGCTCAGGAGACGTTGTTTGTTTCATGTTTTTCGTTTATTCAAATATATATACATACATACATACGTACATACATACATGCTTGCATGCATACAGACATACATACATACCTACATACATACATACATATATACATACATATATATATACATGCATGCATACATCCATATATATATATATATATATACACATACATACATACATACATACATACATACATACAGACAGACAGACAGACAGACAGACAGACAGACAGACATACATACATACATACATACATACATACATACATACATACATACATACATACATACATACACACATTTTTATACATATATATATATATATATATATATATATGTATAAATGTTTGAACACTCTGGCGACAAGCCCCCACGTCCACGGCATGACGGAGGCATCAGTATTCACGCGCCTGGAGGAGAAGAAGGCACGGATTCGCCTGGCCAGGCTCAAGGAAGTAGATCCGTGGATGGGCAGGGTACCAGACACCCCAGAAAGGAACTGCGGGGGCCACACAGGGCGATGCACAGGTTTCCCAGGGAGCCCCGGAGGAGACCTGCTCGGCGTTTGGGCCCATCCGGGCGCCTCTCCCGCGGACCCCACAAGCGGGAGAGTTGGGAGCCCTAGCCATGGTTGCACAGAGTCTCGGAGGCCCTTCGGATGGATTTTCGGACAACGCGAATGCCGCTAACACGTTCGCGCTTCATCCAGGGGCCAGGTTCTCTTATAAGAAAATGCATGCGGGCACCCTTTGATAGCACACTCTAGCCTTTTTGATGTCGGTCAATTTTTGTTTATTTTTTTTGGAAAAAAAAATAACACACACAAAAAACATTAAAAAATGACTCGCGTTGCCGACTGTCCTGATTCAACCCAGAGCCAGCGCTGGGAGAAATCCAGCAACGATGCAGCTGGCCGCGCGGACCGACAGGGGCTGCAGCACACACCCTTCAGCATCGAAAGAAGACCTGGAGGAGGCAGATCGCAGAGTGACAGTGTCTAGAGCTGCGTGCCTCCTCGCGGCCCGTCTGCTGCCCCCGCGGCCCTCCCTGGACCTCCAAGGCTGCCCGTGGACCCGTCGGGAGCTCGCGCCCCAGAAGCCCCGGGCCCCTTGGGTCCACCACGGGTGGGAGCGGTGCCGCACATACTGGAGATGCAGCGCCCGTTCGAAAGTCCGCAGGCCAGGCGCGCTCGTCTTCGGAGAGAGAGAGAGAGCGGCGCCGCCTACACAAGGCTGCTCGGGCTGGGCTCTGTGCCAGAGGCGCTGCCGCAGGGAAAAGCGAAAGGACACAGGCTCCCAAGCTTCGATTGCAGTGACGACTCGCCGCTGTATGTGTGCGCGCGGTGTAAGGAAGGTTATCTCGACGCTGGGCCCTTTGGCCTTGCTCGCTCGTGAATGTCGGCAGCCGACTCGCAACAGTCTCGAGAGATGGACGCATCGTATTTTTAGGGGACGACACCCAAAGCTGGATAAGGCGGCTATAGAGGCGTCGCCCGAAGTTTTCGAGGCCCCAGAAGTCGAGCCCGACGCGGCGCGGCAACAGTCGCAGGAGGCGCGAGAGGCGCTTCTGCGAGAGGGCGGCGAGAGCCCGTTGATCCCTGCCACCCGCGCTCACGTCGTGGAGCCAGGCGACTCCGATGAATTCCTTGGCCTTCCTTGGGGCTTGCGTTTCCGTTCTAGCCCCCGCCAAGGTCAAGAGTTTCAACTGGTGAAGCCAACAGCTCGCCAGTAATTGCCGCTTGAAAAAATCCTCCTCCTCCTCCTCCTCCTCCTCCTCCTCCTCCTCCTCCTCCTCCTCCTCCTCCTCCTCCTCCTTCTCATCCTCCTTCTCATCCTCCTCCTACTCCTCCCTTCCTCCCTCTCTTCCTCCCTCCTTTTCTCCCTCCGTCCATCCCTCCCTCCCTCCCTCCCGTCTC